GAAAAGTCAATTGAAATTCAAGGCAGCAACGACTATAAGCTTCCACACATGAATAAGGACACGACTATTAAGAACTTGTCCTCTTTCACTGTTGAATGCAACTCGACGACGTATGAAGAGGCCTTAGTTCACTTGAGCTGTCGTCTGGGCGAAGAAATTCACCTTGAGGGCTTGGTCAATTCTCTTGAATGAGTAGTTTTCGTCGTTGAATAAAAATACAATTCTATTTGCCGACTCAGTTATGCGTTTTCAGAATCCAATACAATTTTCAAGATATTCTTGAACCGCTCCCTATACTATATCCAAGTCTAAACTTTGGCACAGTCATTATGGACCAGAGTAGTATACTTTTTCCAATATTGTGAACTAAGCCGGTGAAAAACATCTTTTCGTCCGCTTGCGGTGGGAAAAATCAAATGCACCACATAAATTCGTCCAGATAGGCGGGTAGGTACTTCGTTCGAATTCCGCGCATTGTTTTGAGAAAGCGATTGACGCGAACTTCCCACACACCCTCGATCGTCTGGGTGTGTGCGCTGGTCGCTGGATCCACGAAGTTTTCCGAATGGTTCACCCAATGATGGCCTTAGTTCTTGTCGGCCAGCAATGGGTTGTTAGACAATATGTGTCTTTCGTCCGACGACACGTACGAACCAAATTTGTCTGACATGATCAGAGTACCTGGTCGGATGTGCTGCCCGATCATGGCAGACAAAGATGGCTTCGTACGGCCGTGCAACATAAGGCGCCCGAACCACTTGCGCGTAGTTCTGTCCACGCCTCCGAACAACCAAACGTCGGGGTGCTGGGCTCCGTGGTTGTATTTGAATTTTTTTGAGTGATGTCTCGTCGATTTCAACGACCGAGCCTACACGGCCAACCTTGGATATATTAATTACAAAAATAAATATCATATAATTCGATATCCTTGGATACATTAATTTCAGGAATAAATATCATATAATTCGACAATCTTGGATGTATTAATTACAGAAATATATATCATATAAATCGACAACCTTGGATATATTAATCACAGAAATACACATTACATAATTCAACCACCTTGAATATATCGATTACAGGAATTAGTACTATATAATTCGATAACCTTAGATACAGAAATACAAATTGTATACCACGACAGCATTGTATATATCAATAACATACATAAATATTATATGGTTCGACACCCTTGGATGTGTCAATTATAGAACAACATATAGAATAATTCAACAACCTCGGATATATTAATTACATAAATGAATTCTATCTAATTCGACATACCATCATAGCGCTGGATAACATCTCGTTAGAGCAAATGTCTCGACAAAAATAGAACATGTCAATCCAACCTTCGTGCTGCGCTCGATGGAACCGCAGTTAGCACGGCGGCATCTCCACCTTGTCCCGCTCAAGGTCATGCATGTCCTTCGCGCATGACGGACACAGCATCTTCGACTTGAGAAGCCCGACCTGCATACACCACGCAGTACAAGCAGCTTCATTACAAATGGCGATCATGATGGTGCTGAACTTTAACTGCGTGGCGTTAGACATGTCGTACTGTGTGACTCGCTGGGCTTCCTCCATCGCGGCAAATTTGAATGTGGGGGCAAAACCTGACTTGAGTACTTTTTGGTGGGAGTTTTTGGCGGTAAGTGTCTTTTATCCGGATATAAATCTTATCCGGATTACGTACGGAGACACTATTAGAGAGATTTTGCAAGTTATCCGTTGACTAAGGGTGCGTCTGGTAACATTTCAAAAATAATATTCCATTTTCTCGAAAAATGGGATTAACCAAAATGCAATTTTCAAAATGGAGGTAAAAGGTCCATTTTGTAATGTGGCGTTTTGGACCTGTTCAACGAGTAAATCCCACGTGGAATTATTGAATTTCGGTTAAAACTCTTCAAGGAAGACATGTTTCAATTTTGATCAGATATGTTGAATTCGGCCCCAAAATGGCGTTTTGGGCCTGAATATTGCAATATATCCGTTTACCAGACGCACCCTAAGCCTACACAACACTGTGCCAAAAGCGGTTCGTCGTGAACGCGTAGGAGTAACGTTAAAACATATTTTTGATTTGGCATATCTCCCTAGACTAAACTGGATACGAGAATTATGCGGATTTTTCGAGTGGATTGTTGTTGTGCCAGCCACCGTTGAGGACCGATCCCCACCGACGGTGGCGGCGATGGAGGGCTGTACTGTTAGCGGTGATGGAGGGATTCGTAGCGTGACAGCGTTGCTGGACTCTACGTAAAGTGCAGTGTCGATGGAGAGCATCGCAATATGATAGCAGCGGCGGCGGACGTTGGTGGAGGACACAGCGTTCTCCCCACACCGGCGCTCCCATGCCGACTGTTGTTTCTCCGGTCAGTCCGCCTCTTTTCCTATATATATCTGCGTTGCTGACCTGTAGTTCTATGACATCAATGCGATTCACCGGCCAGTCCACTCGATGTATATCTCCGCGTTGTGGACATGTCGCACTATGACATCAACGTGTTACTCTTTGAATCATGCACCTTCCCCCACACACATACATTCGATCATCGTGTACTAGTATAGATCTATGGATATAGCCACAGATCACTTGCTCATCATGTGCAGGTCCACACAGAATGCCCAAATCCTCTGCTTGCAGGTCATCGTTTGGTATGCACAGACGAGACTACCGGTAATGTGGCTGGACCTTGCGCTTGCATGTGTGTGGGTCAGTGTTCGCAAAGTGGACTTGTTCATGAGCAGGCTGTGAATTCGAACTTGGCGTTGACTTGACGCACAATCAGTTGTGCCCTCGACTCTCGAAACCTTGTCCGTATGGGATGTGGACATTGCAGAAATCATGTCCCACTATGGATTGACTGGCTGTAGGTGTAGTTCCAAGTGTCCCTACAAATGGCCATTTCCAGGGTAGGAATATCAAATCATGGGAGTGCTTCTATTAATTGTGGAGGTTCGAACTCCGCTTTTGTCAAACGTATGTTTTTGTAGTGTATGCATAGTCCAAGGACTCGCAAAACCACTCTATTACTTGAATCAGTTACACTCGGAACCTGCGTTTTATTATAATTGGGTCAGGAGCTTATCTTTACTAGTGCCTGACCACCAAGCTTGCGGCACACAAAGGAAATCATTAAAAACGTACCCTCGTTGGCATTCATACCGGTTACTTCGAAGGCTACAACTCTGTCGTAGCCTTCAGTCGCTGGGGAGATGGATTTTCCAGTGGTCGAAGAACGCTCCATGGTCGACACTACAGCCATTTTCCTGTACAAACGTCACTATAGGAAGGTAGGCTTCCGTCATGGTTCTTGTAGTTGTTGCGCAGGTCGAGGGTAGGACAAGCTACTGGCTTGCTGGGCCAGGGTAACATGTGAAGTGATTACAGTGCTGGGCAGTAAAAGTGGACGAAAGTTGCACTCCTGGATATTAAGGAATTTGTATGGAAAGTGGTAATATGAGCCGATGAATTATATTAATAATCGTCAACTCACACCCATGTCGCCAAACCTCAAGTACGTTTTAATTGGCTGTTTCAAAGCAAATTTACACCAATAAAACACATAGTAAAACACAGTGTAACGTTACATATAGCATGTCGCATATTTGGCTGACAGGAGGGGGGTTTACCATGACAACCCTCCACCGAGAACAACAACACCGATGAATACACACAAGCTGTATTACTATTCACCTTTATTGGACCCTTTACGAATGCAATACGAATCCCTTTATAATCCGATTTTGTGTTATATTGGTTTTAGACGGGCTATCCATTTACTCTCGGCAAACCAGCCACACGCACGACCGCCCTGGACAAGTCCGTTGTACAGCACGACATCTACAAGGTGCAACGTCACTTTAGTCATTCAATCGTGCAATAAGCGAGCTATGTATACTGTAGTCGATCCATACAAGACACAACTCAAGGTGCACAAGTGCCCAAGCGTCAATGACCAAGACATGACGCTCCCCGTCAAGATGGCAGTCACGACCGCGACCGGACTTTTCCAAGGCACGGCGGCGGCAACCGTGGCCGAGAACGGACCATTCACGGACGTGGTGGCGGCTGCCATTCCCGTGACCGGGCCATTTGCGTGCACGGTGGCGGCTGTTCGTGACCGGACCATTGTTGAGGTTAGCTTAGTCAAAAGGCAATGGTAAACACACGTATAAACCTTTATTATGGAGCTGTAATGTTGTGCTTCTTTATTAAATCGTACACGGTGTGGTAGGATATGTCGTCGACACGCCGCTTTGTAGGGGAAACTCCAGTGGCTGCTGAAATTGCTGTCCAGATGCTTCTCATTCCTGTCAGGTACACCTCGCTTCGCTGGGCCACCGTCATGTTGATTGCAAATTGCCGAGTTGTCGTTGTGATGTTCAAAATCAAATCAATCACTGCTGTGGCTTTGGAAAAGTTGACCCTGTCGCTGTTTCTGGGGAAATCTTTTCGCCTCAAGATGCGAAATGGAGGAGTATTGTGGACTTCGCTTCCACTCCACCACAGAGTCCACAAATCGAACGTTTTGGTGCTGGGGCATACCAAATTGTTTGTCCTTTGGACTTTAACGGGTTGGTTGGGTCGTTCATCATGTCGAACTTCGGGAGTGATCGTAGACTCGACCAGGGGTGTACTTGAAGATGCCAACCTCAAATCCGCCAACAGTTGATGCCGAAGGAGCTCAAACGAATCGTGCATCATCCCAATTGTTACTGGGGTTGAGTCACTTGTAGGGGCCCGGCCGCTGACCGCCATCGCCACACTTTCGGGAATATTGTCGATTTTGTCAAACACGTTATTTTCAAATGTTTTAAACCCAGTTTCCAATTGGTCCAGACGGTCAACCAGGGTTACGTGTGGTGGCACACCAGTCGCAACCATTCCAGTAGCACGATTGACCATGACGCCACCATGAACTCGTTTGGACAGACCAATTAAAAAACCAGAGCGCCAAATTGGGGACAGAAAGATAGGGTGGTCAGGACTCAATGCCATTTTCAACCAGCTGTGGTGGAATGCCAGTGACGCCAATAGGTATGGCAGCACACATCGGAAGCATGCTGGATATTCCGTGGAGTACCCAGGCACTACCGTCTCCCATTCAGCAAGTGACAAAGCAGGTGCTCCAAAAAAATGCGGGGGCAACGACGCAAATGTGCTTGATGTCAATGGCAAGCCTATAATTCATGAAAAAATCGAAGTCATAATTTATAATCCAAAGTTTGAATAATTTGTCCTATACCTGTCGCAGCACGTCCAACAAATTGGTCGCCACCAGAGCCTTCAAAAATGTACCGCCCTTGCACACTTCCAAGGCTCCATCCCGCACGAAGCCAAATCGAGACTGCCTGTGGCCCACCCGGTGAGTTGGACAGTGCTGTCGCAACCCCTTTTCGGAACGAATGGGTGCCAATCTCGGAAATGGCCATCCCCATTGCCAGTATTTCTGCTTCGTTCACAGAACAGACTTTAAGCAGCCACCTCGAAAATCGGGTTTGGGCCGTTGCTCCAAAGACCAATTTCGTTCGCTGGCCAGTCGTTAAACCTCTCGTAAACACAATCATCGCAAGGCTAAATTCAGAGGTTGCACATTTAATATCACGTAAATCCAAATTAAATCATGGAACAGACCTCAGAATTGGGCATACTGCCGGACTCGTGGGATTTGCGTAAACATGCTTGGGAAACAGAGCAGCGCCTTCTTGGTCACTTTTTGTCCGGCCAAATTTGATCAACATTGCATCCCCTAATATTAATCGGTTTACATATGAATTTACACCAATATAAACCTACCCTGCCACGTGATGTTGTCGAAACGAATTGACGCTGTTGAAACTGAACGCGCCATCAAATTCCAACAAAACACGAGAAACGTATGAGCGTTGATTGCCAGATTGTAGTCCGTTGTCGACGACAGCGCAACGTTTGCCAAATAGGAGTAACCTAAAATATAATATCGAAAATAATTATTAAGGAAAAAAAATTCACAGCATAAAACTAATTTACCGTCCACAGACATCGGTAATATGCCTTCACCGATGGGCATGACACCATCCTCCTTCAGTTGTGCTATGTGCCGTTTGTACCCGTTTGCAAAGTCTACAACAATTTAGGCCCATTTAAATCGATTAATTTTCATTTTCCTCAAGACTTAAAACAAACCTTTCAGTCGCGATTCCAGATCTTCGTCCATGGTGATGTTCGCCTCCTTGTACAGGAATTTCAGCGCACTCTTGCAGGTCCCGATGGTGGAGAAGGTGTTGTATTGCTTGGGCACAAGCGCCTCGCCACGTGTATTGCGCTTGATTGATGCGTAGTCTAAATACATTTGGCAGATATTGCTGGGCAATGGTAGCTGGATCGTGGTGTCAACCACGAATGACGGGTGCTCTGTGTGCAGCCAACGCTTAAACCTTTCCAGGATAGCGAGGTATTGGGCCCTTGTGTCATCTACAAGACGCATAGCGACCACTCGATCCCCTGCAACTTCTTCTACATCACCATCTGTGTGCTTCCGCTTTGTCCTGCCCATTGCTGATCGCAAAATGGATCTTTCAACATTCCGGATATCCAAGGCAGCTAGCTACATAATTCGTGAGGATTCGTAAAAGTGTACTATTTTGTGGATACAATTTTTTTAATACGAAAGACAAGACTAAGTCAGAAATAGATCCATGATATTTGCCTTTTACGAATCCTGGAAATTCGTGACGCAACATATAACCGGACAAAAAAGTTCGTGATCGGTCTCACACCATTCGTAAAAGGGTACTATTCAATAACACTAGGTACAGCTTTGTCAAATGATTTAACTACAGTACTAGCAGTAATTTTGTTCCACACACCCGTATAGTGTATATGTATTGCGACAGGTGATATTTCACAACCAGCCGACACTCTTTCTCAAAACTTTGTTAATCCATTGCGTCGTACAAATTTGAAGTATATTCAACGTGTTACAAGTAAATATCAGTTTTTACAAGAAAATTATCAGTTATAACAGGAGTCGCAATAGATTAATCCGTAGCAATACATGTACACTATACGGCACCACGAATGGTACGATTGATTGTAGCACAACGTTTCTCGTGCGCTGTCATTTCGTCGGTTTCGCGTTCCTCTTCCTCCAGAAGCCACTCATACTTTAACATGGCCTTGACGGGACCCATAATTCCAACATCAAGCGGCTGGCACCGACTAGTCGAGTTCTTGGGCAGTGGTTCCACAGCACTACAGTGTTTCAGCCACTTTGTTGTGTGACTCCTCGGACACGTGGCAGTCGAGATTGTCAACCATTAGCACCGACGCGTCCTCTACATGCTGAGCAAACAAACGCTCCAGATAGATGCCCCAGACACGGTCATCCATCCAAGCGTTTGCTTGAACAGCATACACATGGCGTTGATCGTACTGAGGCAACTCGATCTTGTTGATTGGCCCACCTGGCTTCCCTTTGACGATGAACAATAGCAGCACCTTGATACCTAAGAAATCTTTTATAGGCGATATACAAATATGTTGCATGTACCTGTGCCAGCCACAGAAGTGCGGCCTTTTAGGCTATTCCCTTTCCCCCTCCCCTTAACCCTACCCCGTAGGGCCGACCCCCGGGGTATAGCTACTACGCAATCAGCTCGGATAGTCAGGACGCACGAAATGCGTTCAGAATGTTTCGAACTCTTGCCCACTTTGAACGACACTTCCCAACTTCTGCCAACGTCTTGCTAGGTGGCATATCGAAATACACGCCAGTCTCGTCGGCATTGAAAATCCGAGTCCTGTCGTACTCACTGTACTTGGCCCAAAAGTGCACAGCATATCCAATCCAGACTTCGTCCAGCACGGCCTGGGTTACTTTGTTAACACAAGGCGCGGCGTCAGGATCGAAATGCTTGAATCTGACAGGTTTTTGGACGACTCACAACACAAAATGCGGTAAATTATATATCAAAATCACCGACCAATTACAAGGATCCATTTGCAACCCGTCGTTAATCCGAATTTTTTATTTGTCAAAAGTTACGCACTCAAACGTATGTGGGTTTACACTCATGGCCAAGATTCAGGGAACGCTCACATTTTTTGGGATATCTCAACAAATATCTCAACAACCAATGGGAGTTATGAGATGCTGTTTGGATATGATAAGCCAATATGAATGCTCGAAACGTGGTTATGGCTACCGAGGAGCGAAGTAGAAGTAACGAAGACTTTCTATACAACAATCATTTTTTGCACCTGGACAAAATTAAGGAACACAATATCGGATACAAATTTCTATATAAACAGAATGTGTCAAAGTGACTTGCATACAAATTCAGCGTTACTTGTCACCATGCACGGTCAAATGTTGACTGATGAGCTGCGTGGACGCATCAAAGGACTCCGCGAGGCCGGAAAGTCGTATCGTGAGATCTGCCAACTCACGGGTAAGTCTATTTCCGTGATATCACGCTGCCTACGACGCGGAAACCGCGGCAAGAAGACCAGCGGTCGGGCACTAATTCTCTTCGAGCGAGAAACACGCCGACTTGTTCGTGAACTGGCTTAAGTGCTCAGTCGCTACACAAGCTGTGTGAGTTGCCATGTTCCACACGTACCACTCGACGCTTATTGTCGCGTTGTGATCTCTTGGTGTATGCCAAGATGCAGCGAACGTTGCCGTTGACTCCCGCGCACAAGGTCACTCGATTCAAGTGTGCAATGGGTATACGCACAAGGCTCCTTGGACTGGTCTAAGGTTATCTTCTCCGACGAGAAAAAGTTTAACCTGGACGGACCTGATGGATTCAAGCACTACTGGCATGAATTCGGACGTCAAAGCGAAATTTTGTGACCCCGCAACAAGGAGGCGGCTCAATCATGGTGTGGGGTGACTTTGCTGCGTGAGGGAAAAGTAACCTAGCTGCACTGACGGGAAAGCAGAAGTCAGGTGACTACATCTACACTGTTTCCGAGTTTATGTTGCCGTTTGTCCACCTTACCTATGGAACTGACTTTGTCTTTCAACAAGGCAATGCGCCGATTCACACGTCGATTGAGACGAAGGAGTGGTTTGCAGACCAATCAATCGTGCTTTTACCTTGGCCTGCTTGCTCCCCCGATCTCAACCCAATCGAGAACGTTTGGGCTTCCATGGCACGTTCAGTTTACAACAATGGTCGTCAATACAAGAACCTTCTTGACCTCCGTCATGCGATCTTTGAGGCGTGGAACGCGATTAGTCGTGCCGAAGTCAAGAAGCTGATTGACTCCATGCATGGTCGATGCTTGGAAACCATTCACCGCAATGGTGACAAGATGCATTATTGACAGTAGTACACTCTGTTTATATAGAAATTTGTATCGGATATTGTGTTCCTTAATTTTGTCCAGGTGCAAAAAACGATTGTTGTATAGAAAGTCTTCGTTACTTCTACTTCGCTCCTCGGTAGCCATAACCACGTTTCGAGCATTCTTATTGGCTTATCATATTCAAACAGCATCTCATAACTCCCATTGGTTATTGAGACATCCCAAAAAATGTGAGCGTTCCCTGAATTTTGGCCATGAGTGTATTCATGTGACGCGCATTGTACAGAGAACTGAGTTGGGACTGGCGCACAGTGGTATACCTTGTTGTATGGACGTTTGTATATGGTGGCGGGATGTGTGGTACCAAAATATAATAAAACTCTCCGCATCACAATCAACAACACCACTCGGATTGGTTTAATTTTTGCCAATAAAAATGAGCCTCGGGTTGGGATTGAACTCGGGACCAATTGACATGACTGGTACCTCAGTCTTGCAAACTATTTCAGACTGAGGATACCTCCGTTCTTCGGAATTGCGCAGTGGGTAAGACGGCGAAATGCTGCTTGACTATGCAATTGTAGCACAATTAGTGTGAGGGGTCAAAGTTAGCATGGGGCCAAAGTGCAGTGCGAACGTTTTTATGATTTTGAAGTTAATTACATTTTTCACCAAAAACCTGAACAAATTTACACTAAATCTCGGAAATGTGAAGTGCTTTTTCGAAGGACTTGCGAGCTGTGTCTTCCTTCATACCATCCCACACCTTAATCGCCCTCTTGATCATAACAAGACGCTTCTCTGCAGCAGTGACGACTTTGTCTTCCTACTCCGTACGGCACATCTGCTTGAAAGGTCCCATGACGCCGACATCCAAAGGTTGAAGGACACTCGTCGTGTTGGCCGGCAATGGCTGGAGAAACGCATCGGAGTAAAGTTCATCCTGCATGATCTTGTAGCTCTTCTTCGACACGTGACATTTCAGGTTATCGGCAAGGGGGACCGACGGACAATCCAACTCAGGCTTCAAAACCTCACGGAGGTACATGTTCCTGACACGCTGGTTCATGTACGCAGTCTTCTGCACAGCGTAGACCAGTCCAGCGGGATACATCGGAACTTCTTTGGTCGCGATATCACCGTCGGGGCGGCCCTTTACAATCAGTAGCAGCGGCATTTTTGTACCTACATACCTTGCAATGAGTCGACGCAATGAGTAGTGACATACCATCCGCACGAATTGAGAGCACAGCCGTGATACGATCGGAGTGTTTTTGGGACTCTTTCACGTGTGAGGACTGTCCAACTCGAGCAAGAGTACGACCAGGCGGCATATCGTAGTACACAGGTGTTTCGTCCACGTTGATCCATGCGTGTTTGGGAATGTGGCCAAACGTCGAGCGGAAATCAGCAGCAAACGCCTCTTGGGTCACAGCAAGCTCCCCTTGGGTGGACTTCGCAGGGCAAGGAACACGATGGTGGTAGCCATGTCGGTTGGCGAAACGAAGGCACCATTGCACCAGTGACTTGTACGCGCGCTCGTCGGTCGGCTTGGAGCTCATGTACTCAGCCAACCATTCAGGCTGGTACGTCTTGAGCCACATGACCAGATGCGCCGTGGTAAGGAAGTGCTCGCCATGCCGCACAGATGCCATGAAGTCGACGAGCTCACCTGAAAAGTTGTTTGATTCAACTCTTCCTTGTACATAAAGCGTGGCACGCCCGCTGTGCTTAGTCGCTCGCCCACGAGGTTTTGACGCCTTCATCTACGCCGCCATCTTGCTCGTTAAGCGGCGGAAGGTTGCCCCTGGTATGTTGTACGTTCGTGCAAAGAGTCTGACACTTGCTCATGGGCCGAGGAGGGCGAATGTCTGGAGGAACACTTGAATTTGTCGGACTTTGTATCGGCGCTGCCGGCGGTTTGCAACACGGTGAGGCGGTGCCATTGAAGAATGCTTGCAAGTCAAATGTCATCCAAAGTCAGCCAATTAGATTAAAATCTCCCATTTGAACTGACCAATCACGGCTTATGTTGGGGGGACGCTGCGATTGGCCAATATAGTTTCGTTTTCGTTTGGATTTCTGCTCTTACAGTCTTTTTAAATTTTTTCGAGTACTACTGTGCGCCAGTCCCAACGCAGTTCTCTGTAGGACAAGCTACTGGCTTGCTGGGCCAGGGCAAAATATGAAGTGATTAATAGTTAGTCTACTGTCGAGCTAACCTTTCCAACATACAACCTTTGCTATTCTTCTTGATATGTACTACCTTCGGACGGAAATAGACCTGACATTTGGCAAAAATTGATGTAATTTCTGCAAATATTCAAATTGGAAAAATCTGAAAATAGGTGCGCCATGGGTTCAATAGACCTCTAACCCAGAGATTGAATGAATGACCAGTCACAACCTTGTTTATCATGTACTCAGCATTCAAATATAATCACTACTACCTCTGTCCGAAAGTGATTGCACGAGTGTAAATTTACGGTACAATTTATTATATTATACAGTTTATTGCACGTACACTTTACCACAAATACATTCGATACCTGTATAAATCGAATTTTACAAATATAAATTTACAGAACTTATACGTGAGCACAGTCAAATATGATCATCATTCCCACTTTTTTTCGTGGATAAATCAGCTGTACTCCTATTTAGGACCTTTGGGCTCTAATTGGATTCTATTTGAAATTTTGTATTCAAAAGTACTCCTAATGTGTGGGAGGTTCACCACTTATTTGGAGGAGATACCCTAATTTCACACCTGAAATGTCCATTCGTGCAATCACTTTCGGACAGAGGTAGTACAAATTGACAAACAACTCACTTTTCGACGAAATAGTGGGATGTTTTTGTAATGTGCAGGAGACGAAGTAGTCTCATACGCTGTTTAAACGAAAGGCCGGGTCTTCGACGAACAAGAGCACCAAGCTCCTCGATAGTCAGCATGGGACTTTGGCCGCGCACGCCTGTGGGGATTACGGTAAACTAGTATTTATCCGTATACGGCAAGTGATGCCTTTTCGAAATTAGGTTAAATTGATCCCGTGCACTTTCCATGCATATCGACAATAGTGCCAGGAAATGCACGGCATAATTTTCGAAATCTGTCTATTACAGAAATCCGATTTCTAATCTATTTATATTACTTATTAAGGTAATTCGTTAACAAATGGAGCCAATACCGCACCAATTTTTACCCACCACCTTTTGATAAAACCTGCATCAAATTATTCAAATCACGTACATATGCCTAGCGAAAGCACTAATTTGGGATATATCCCTAAAAGAACGAACCACGGGGATTTTCGATTTCACTGTTGGAGCCCATGTCAGTGTCGCTTCCACCTGCATCCGCAGCAGCAAGAGAGCTCTCGGCAGTCATGAACATCGACAGCCTCGCCTTGCGCTTCGAACGATAGGTACGTGTCGCTGTATTCTTGTTCTTGACCATCTTGGTGCCGATAGCGTTCAAGCGGTTGATGTACTGCGAGTTTGCGTCGTCGTCTTCAGCGCGAAGGGGGTGGAACCGAACGTGTGCATTCGTAAACGCCATACAGGTCTGAAACACAACATCGTAAGTCTTACGATTCCAGCGGTAGGTATCGCTACACACACCCCAAAGCGTCTTCAGACGCCCGAAGAAGTTTTCGACAATGACACGGTCGCTGGCGATGCGGTCGTTCCGGCGCAGTTCCTCAAAGGTAAGAATTCCACCCATAGGCTTCTTGAGTTGCAGCACGGCTCGGACGTTCCGCTGGGCCCCTTGATAACCCTTGTCAACGAGTACTGCCCAACGTAGTTCTCGATCGGGTCCCAGGCCGTCGGCGTCAGCCAGGTCCATGTCAGTGGCTTCCTTGCAGAGGTTGGCGGCGTGGAAGTCGAGGTTCTCGTCAAAGATGGTCTTGTCGGAAACGCTACCTTTGTAGTAACTTGTGCAATTAATAGCGAAACCATTCGGGAAGACCGAGGCTTCGACCTTGTGACCGTACAGGTGGTGCCTGCCACTGTAGAACAGTTTCTTCTCGGCATACGAGCCGGAGGGCACATTGGTCTGCTAGAACGTCACATCCGTAGCGTAGCGAGCGTAGGGAAAGTTCCTGAATTGCTTGCCACCTGCAGCGAGTTGAGACATCGTCCATTTCTCCCCCACAGCTGTCACGTACTTTCGCATGACAAATGGATACAGAACCATCAAAAACTTCATGACGCGCTTTTCGAAGGTAGCCACTTTCTGTTTGAACATGGCTGCAACAACGTCCCACGCCCCACAATGCTTGTGCGAGGTAAGAAGCATGAGAAGGAGATCTCTTGCTGTCACTTCTGTTTTACGCCCCGAGCCGACATTCCAGTGCTTGAAAAGGTGCGATCGAACGTCAGCCCAAAGGATGTTGAATTCCGAGGGAATAAAGCTGGTATCGTGAGAATCCCTTCGGGACCTTGGGTCTCCAAGAACGCGTCGTATATGGGAACAATGGAGTCGGTGTCGGTGTCAGGTTCGTCAGCAAGATGCGTGGAGTAGCGAGTGCGCTTGGCTTGACGCTGCATTTCGAGGTTGTTGAGCAGCGATACCCCTTGGTTGATGCTACGTGTCGTCAACGAGGTGGGGTGGGGCCCCTGCAAGCTGGTTCGGCATGCCATTTAGTCGATTGGTTGTTATTATCGGGAAGTAGTCGATGGTTTGGAAATGACTGAGGCGTTTCCAAAAACATTAATTGGTACGTCATTGATCACCACCAAATCAAATGATCCAATCATTTAGCGCGTACTATTCGAATGCCCAATGGATGACTGCCAAAAATCTCGCAAACATAATTTTTCATTTGTAATAATAATAAAATAAAACCCTCCACAAATTTGTACGATGCGAAGTCGAAAAATCAATCTTCGCATAGTCTGGTGCACAAACCAAAATATATGCAAATTAATACATAAAAGCCTCTATAAATTGATATTTCCAGAACGAAATGAATTTGGGTTTGCCCCAAAATTCTTCTATCCGGAAGAATTTGACGAGCTTATTTTCGTTTGCGAGATTTTTGGCAGGCATCCAATGACTACTCTTCTGACAACTAAAAGAATCATTGACCAGTCATTTTCATGAATCCAATAGCACATGATAATTCTACGAAAGTATCCGGACATTTGACATTGTTTTAATCATTAGTCAGGAGGTCTAATATAATGCTATAATGCATCCAATGGGGGACTTCAGAAACTGTCACAAACTTTATTTGTGACAGTGAAATCATCCGGAATTATAATTCAATTGTGTCACAAATTTTTTGTGGAGGCGAAAAATACGTCTCAACAAATTTGTGCCGACAGTATCGTATTTTACCCGGATAACGTTTTACGGATAAATGGAATGGTACCTGAGCTGCAAAAAATGACGCTCTTGATATGGTGGATTTGGATGCACATGGATGACGACGACGTCTCCAAGGCCACCGCCGCCGACAAGTAAACAACCCGGTGGGCACGCGCGAATATGTAACCGTCGAACGTGTCCCCATTACCGGTAGTATCATATACTAGTATAGGTTAATATAGTTCCATGCGAAAGACCATCAAGCGAACAACTTTTCGAAACAAATCGATCCCAAGCGCATACATCGCCACCATCTCAATCCCACCCAATCAATTCGCGAATTGTAATCCACCTTACAGCATTGATCCAAGCGGTAGGTGCGATTCGACGCAGTCCAACATCAACATCACTTCTGGATTACTCCATCCCTTCACACGTCCTTTTCCTTTCGGCGCCATGCTGACAGTGATTTTCAAATGCCAGAATTGTGTCGTCCATCAATCTCGGCACAAATTCTAGCCAATAGGGAGTCCAAAAAAAGTGAAAACTATGACAATTTCAAACACTGGCAAGACAGCACGGGCAATAATATTCGACTTTTATACGGATAATTTTAAGTCAGAAGCGGCTCAAATATAGTTTGTGACAGTTTCTGAAGTCCCCCAATTGGCCCGAATTTATAAAAAAAAAGTTGCATCCAGTCGCGCACGTTGAAAAAGAATCACGATACTCAAGTCAAGATAAAAAATACGGATACAGCCAAACTTATCCGAAAACAGGAATGTTGATCTCTTTTGATCGAAGACCCGAAACAGAAGTAGTAAGTAGTACACAACACTGTAAGTCGACACAAATTTTGCGCGGCGTGAGGGTGGTGAACAACACGAGCCCCGATGTATACGTACATAAGCATACGTTGGGTTCAAGCCGACGAGATGGCGGGACGTTGTACACGGACCTTCCGGCACGAATTCGTGCGATACCACCACGACGTCGGACGACACTCCAGTACATCGCGCACACAATCGGCATACCCGCGAGCACCCTTAAAGACTACTATAAACGCGGTTTTGTAGTAAAGTACAGTCCCCACATTAAACCTAAGCTAACCGATGTCAACAAAGTGGCCCGCGTGAAATCGGCCATGGACTTCGTTCGTCCCGACAGCAACTTTCAGTTCGCCGACATATACGACTATGTCCGCGTGGACGAGAAATGGTTCCACGCGACAAAGGTCAAAGCGCAAATGTACCTGCTCCCCAGCGAAATCCCACCCCACCGCTCAACCCAGAGCAAGCGTTGCATCACCAAAGTGATTTTCTTGTGGGATCAATTAACAGTTCGCGACATCATCGAACTGCTATTTTGGTATATCTCAGGCAATGTGAAGTCGAAACTCTATAAAAATAAGTGGGTTGAATAGGTAATTTTGAGGAGTTGAGAACTCCAAAAATCCAACCCACGAAAGCGAATAACTTGTGAAATACTTTGCCAAATCATCCTGAGTGAGTGTCATTTTTCACCCAGGAACATCATAACCTTTATAACATAATCCAAGATATTATAGAGGTTTTATATTTAGCTACTTCGAGGTACCGTGCAATTCTATTTCCTGTCAAGGATAAAAATAGATGTTTTGCCATCAACCATAGTTCATTAATCAATCAACATGGATATCACCTTGGAAGCATGCTTTGCCGTTGTAAAGGACGCTAGGCACCGCACCGTGACCCGCGAGAAAAGACTCGACATTCTCCGCTTACACGCATGGTTCCGAAGCCAGGGCATAAAAGCAGCCTGGAAAAAAGTGGCTGAAGCTCTTGGGCGCAACATACACCTGGTGCAAGATGTGTGGCGAGAGTACCTGGAGACCCAAACTATCACCGCTTCGACCCCATCTGCCAACCTCACTGTACACATAACTACTGTCCCACACACGAAACAAGTGGTCGAAATGGTACAGACCTTTGTCCGAGAACGTCGTGCGACACGAACACGAACGACAGCAGCTGACGTCATGGTGTACCTCAATGAGGTGTGTGTTCTCGACTTCAACACCGACGACAAGAGACAATGGTGGTCAACTCTGCGATCCGTACAACGATTTCTCAAAGCACAAGGGTATAAGCGTGGCAGTCGAAAGGAATCTTCCACCTGCCACTTGTCGAAAGCAAATGCAGAGACGCGGGACGCCTACGTTCGCCGCATGAATGCGATCATCGACACGACCTACCCGCCGCATGTTGTGTATACGGACGAATCATACATCCATCATCACTACAAGTCCCATCATCAAAGTTTGTACGACCCGAACGACACGCAGAGTACTGCAACGAAAGAGAAACACAAAGGCAGGCGATACTGCTTCGTGGCCGCCATGCTGGACTCACCGACAATGGAGAGAAAGATCATGGCATTGGACATCTTTACTGGTGGCAAGTCGAAGGCGAAGGAGCCTAAAGACTACCACGGAATGTTCGACACTGACTACTACGTTGCATGGTTCAAGCGACTGTTGGATGAGATGGAGGCCAGTGGGATCGCAAACGCATGGATTGTACTCGACAACGCAAAGTACCATAAGTCGTTGCCGAAATCGACCCCGACGAGTGGCTGCAGGAAGAGTGTGCTGGTTGATGCGTGCAAGGCCTTTGATATAAAGACCACGGGCAACGAATACAAGAGTGAGCTGTGGGGGCTGCTGTCGACCTACATCAAGGCGAACATCAAGCCCATGATTGTTGACATGGCTGAGCGTCGTGGGCACAGCGTCGTCTTTACACCACCACATCATTCCGACCTCCAGCCCATTGAAACTGTGTGCGCGATTGTCAAAGGTGAGGTCGGGCGTCAATACGATAATATGACGAAGTTCCCAGAGGTAAAAGTGCGCCTGGAGGCTGCATTTGCGAACTTGAAGCCAGACTCTATAAAAGGATGTGTGCGCTCTGTACAAGAAAAGCTGAAGTTGCTGCATGAACACCTTGCCCAAGTTGACGCGTTGGAGTCAGAATCGTCAGCAGCAAGTGGAAACTCAAGTGACGATGATAGTGACTCCGATTAGCATCAAGTACACCTTCAGGTTTATGTTGATGTCGCGAACTGTAAGAGGACGACGAAGTAGTGTTGGTTTCTGTGTAAGAATCAAATGAATTTGAGTTTGAGTATGCAAAGCCAATAATTGAATAAAACTTGTTTGTTTATTTAATTATATAGCTTTGATTA